GCTGAAAGGACGAGCATGTTTGGTGTGACGGAGGCTCGAACCCACGATCCGCAGATTGCGAGTGGAGTACCCTAACTACCTGGCCATGCTGGGCCCATGAAAATAATTAAAGTTTGCATTCCAAATAATCTGTTTGTTTATTCCATAATTAATAATTAATTTAGATCAGTGAGGTGTGGATACCTAATTTGATTTATTCTAATACTTAGCAAGGCTTCCACCATCAACCTAACTGTTTGATAAAGCTATACTTACTCGGACATTTCTTGTGGAGTATTTTCATCTAGCTACTGTTTCTGTACGAATATTAACATCTAAATAGTTTGTTTGTAGTTATGCACAAAGCTACACAATGAGCTACCTGTGCTCTGCCCACCATGGTATCGAAACCCGGTTTCCGCAGACATGCCGCTGTGCCACTGGGGGGCATTCTAAATAGTAATTATTGTTCCTAAAAACGGCAGCATAAGTCCATAGAAAATTCAGTCCATATATTTACCACACTGCTAAAATCCACTTTAAAAGAAAACTACAAATACTTCATGTGCTTATGGAAGCCTAAACGTGGAGTAACCTTAATTCCTTCTGTAGCAAAGTTCACACTTTGGGTGAGTAAAATCGTCTAACGACTTGTAAATTAAATCGTCAAAAGCCTAAAACAGTTTTGATAGGTTGTTAGCAACTGTTTAAGTTACTTATTTCTGCTCCTCCTCGACCCCTTTACATGACACGCTCCATGTACTTAGTGCATCAACACTTATCAAACATCACGGCTGTCTTACATTTTGAAGTTTTTAAATGTAAAGATAACGAAAAATATTTTCACCGAACTCCATCCAACTCGTGTCCATGATCTTATTGCGAGCAAATGACAGTTAAAGTGGTTAATCAGACAGTGGTTAATCAGAACGTATTCCAACTGGTAAATATATATACAGAAGAGAAGTCAAGGATGAGTTTATAGTTTTTCAAAATGTGTCGTAGACTAGTAAAGAACGGACTTCAGAATCAAAAAATGTGTCGTAGACTAATAAAGAACGGACGCCACAATAAAAAATGTGTCGTAGATTAGTAATGAACGGACTTCAGAATCAAAAAAATGTGTCGTAGATTAGTAAAGAACGGACTTCAGAATCAAAAAATGTGTCGTAGATTAGTAAAGAACGAACTTCAGAATCAAAAATGTGTCGTAGATTAGTAAAGAACGGACTTCAGAATCAAAAAACGTGTCGTAGATTAGTAAAGAACGGACTTCAGAATCAAAAAATGTGTCGTAGATTAGTAAAGAACGAACTTCAGAATCAAAAATGTGTCGTAGATTAGTAATGAACGGACTTCAGAATCAACTGTTTTATTCTTATGTTGTATTTTTCGGGTGTGTTTTTTTTCGCACATTCTATCCAGTCGACATTCTCTTTTCTTAACCAGTGGTCAGTGAAACAGACACAACTTCGTGATCTGCTGGTAGTGTTAGAAGATTATTGATTTGTGCTGTTTATTTATATTTCACGCAAAGCTATATGAGAACGAATTGTTTTTTAAACATGTTTTGCACTTTTTGCTAGACTTGCAGCGCCATGACATCATTTCAAGAAAACGTTTGTACTGAAGTTGATAAAGTCTGTTGTGTCAGGTAGCTTAATTTTTACTGTTCAACACATAAGCATGGGTTTCGTTTTACGAAAGGTAGCTTGATATTTACTGTTCAACACATAAGCATGGGTTTCGTTTTAGTAACAACAACAGAATGTATCGCTTCCATTATATATAAAGTTTACAGAGTTTTTCTCTGGTTTTTAGCACCCTGAACATCAATGTGTTATTA